TCTGCAGAAATTATCAAAGCATGCCAAGTGCACTCTTAAAATTGATGACCAACTGTGCAGTACAAATCAGAACATACTCAGGACACGGGGGGGATAGAAATTTAACAAAACTGGGCAGTGTAGTTAATTGGAATTGTATTCCTTTTCGCTACAACATCAGAGATGGCTGAATAAATATTGAATAAGAGTGACTGATGAGGACAGCAAGCAGGAAAGCTCCGTCTACGTCGCTGCAAAAGCCTATCGTTGGTAAGAAAGGGGCAGCCCTGCTGTTTCTGGCCAGTTTCAAATTGGACATCTTTCGCGTGTGAGGCGAACATGATAACCACTCCATAACAGAAACAAACCTCGCTGCCGTTCTGCCCGCTCACCTTCGTACCGCATTGGAATTTGCAGCCATTCACATTTTACTTTTCAATTTCAAATAGATTAATATTGTCCAGCCTTATTGGCATTATTGATACATAAACAAAATAAAGCCCTTTCTTCAGAGTTTAAACGTGTTCAAATTTGCAGCATTTCAAACGTTTACAACGTGCACAAGACTGGAAAGAGTGGAAGAAGATAATGGGCACTGGGCACATTCGCGTAACTAATATATTGGTGAAACAGGATGATCAGTACCCTCTGACATTTATAATGCCTTCTGTAAGCTTATCACTTCTGTTTTACATTCCCACTCATTGCTTTCCAGTTAAAGCTTGGATTCAGAATCAGTCTCAAGTTACACCAAGCAGCTAATTAATCTCATAATTCTACAGGCGGAAGGATGTCGAGTTAAATTCGGAACAGAAGCAGGCAGTGAATCAGAGAGTGGGTAAATCGATATCAAGTATGACAACCAGAAAAAAAATAATTAGAATGGATAAGCTTGACGCATTGAATAAGATGCAGGAGCCAAAATAAATCACATGGTCCATTCTATCCGCTTCCCCATTGCACGAGATCAGACATAATCTGATAATCCGCAGACTCCATTGCCATGCCTTGTCCACTTAATCCTTGACATCCTTAATAATTAAAAATGTCCATTTGAGCTTTGTTTATACTTATCGACCCAGCCTGACAGCCCTCTGTAGTAAAGAATTTCATAGATTCATAGCCCCTGAGAGAAAAAGAATCCTCCTCGTCTCTGTCCTAAATGGGTGACTCCTCAGACTGAGATGATGCCCTCTGGTCCTAAACTCTTCCGCACAGAGGAAACATCCTCCCCACATTTATCTTGTCAAGCCCCCTAAAAATATCAACTGTTTTAATGCGGTCTTCACCCATTCTTTTAAAGTCCAATGAGTACAGGCCCAACCTACTCAATCTCTCCTCACACAAAATCCCTCTACACACCAGAGAATGCGGTGATCCTTCACTGCACTGATCCAATGTCAATGTATTTTCCTTTAGATGTGGGTTCCAAATCCTTTCACTGTATCCTGGCTGTACCTTGTAGAACTATAACAATCCCTCTCTGCATTAATTGTCCATTCTCTTTGAAATACTGGCTACATTAAATTTGAATTCTGTCACCAGACGAAGGAGCAACTCTCCGAACGCTTTTGATTTCAAATAAACATGTTGGCCTATTGACTTCTGACTCATTATTTCGCTTCTTACTCATTTTTGTTTCATCCACATAGTTGACAATGATACATTCACTTCCATCATGTATGTCATTGGTTGCGTCTTGGGGGGAAAGTGCCTGATGTGAAATCATGCTGAGCAACCTGCAAGAATTCAGAACTATGTCCCTGATGCTCTAGTATTTTCGTCTCGATACAATGCGGTCCCTGGTCAGGGAATAATGCCTTATTTATTTTTTGCATATTTTCTGAAGGAAGGTGACTTGCAAAGCGTTTGAAAACTAAATGGTCACAGTAGTTCCGGCAGAATCAGTGGAGTGAGAGTTCAACTTTCACGTCAGAGCTAGAGATCCCGGTCAGACATCAGATCGAAGAACAACATGGAAGAGAGGCTTTGGGGTGAAAGAGGAGGAAAAGCGAGGGACATGAAATGTTGGAAAACAGCACATGGGAACTGTATAAAGGGCTAGAGCTCGAAAGCTCATTGTGGGTGCTAATTGGTCAGATTCTTATGCCTGCCGTTTGAACGAACCCTCTGATGATGCTGCTTGGCCTGCTGTGTTCATCCAGCTCTGCACCTTCTTGTCCCACATAGCAGTCCTGTTTTAACAATTACAACTCGCTTCAATTCGAAACTTTCATGAATGTTGCTGTCCCAAAATGATTCAATCATTCGCAAAGTGGGAGACACCCTTGGTTTCTGGGTTATTGTCACTCCTCAGACTTTGTCGCTCTCAGTGGGTATACCTGAGTGCCTCTCTGTCGATATCAAGTGGAGGATGATTGAAATGTTGACTGAACAGCTCCTTCAGTCAGTATCGGGTCAGTTGGTCAGATTGGTCCTATTGTAACAAATTGCTCCCCACCATCTTCTCAGGGGCAACTGGAAAGTTGTAATAAATGCTGAAGTACTCACATCCAAGGGAAGAATTTTTTTTAAAAAAATTAGAGGCTCTAAGTTTCTTCAGATTAATATTCTAATTCACAGCAAACACTAGTTATGAGGATTTCGGCAGATTGTTTTCACAGAGTAACGTGGCCGAGTGGTCTAAGGTGCATGATTTTAAGCTCCCATTTCTGTTGAGTCGTGGGATCGAATTCCACCGCTGTAAGATCCGCTTGTGATGTACCCTAGTTAAAAACCGGCTCACGTCAAAAATGTGATGTCTTTTTTACTTCTGGGTGTTTGCAGTTCCTCGGGCCTCTGACAGTTTCGGTGCTGAAAGCGGCAAAATGGGCAACAGGTCCTGAAAACAGTGAGAGCTCCAGCTGTACAGTGCCTCCTCAGATCTTGGCTTGTGGACTTTGCATGTCATGCTGGCGCCAGTTTCTGTGTCTCAATTGGTCAATCATTGAAAGGGCTGTAGCTCGAGACCACCCAGGTACGCTGCTTCAGCAGTTTCAGATCAAACAATTATATCGACCACGTATCTACATCTCACCCAGTAGACCTCTATGATGAGATTAGATTTAAACAGCACCTTCAATGCTTCACCTCGGCTCCACTCGGAGTGGGACAGGGACAGGTACAAGTAGCAGGCTATGACACCGTATTCTCCAATCAGAGAGTGGTGTGATCCTTTGATCTTTTCGTTTTAAATTCTGTGTCTGACACGTCTCTCACTAATACCTGATGAAGGAGTGAGGTTCCGAAAGCTTGTGTTTTCAAATAAACCTGTTGGACTATAACCTGGTGTCATGTGATTTCTGACTTTGTCTGCACCTGTCCAATACCGGCACCTCATCAGGGGATTTTGCACAGTTTGTTGACGTCCGTTTCCGTGGCTCAACGGATCAGCATCAGGATGTAAATTGAAAAGGTACCAACTCGAGGCCATGAAGATGCAGTGCTTCCGTTGCTTTGGGTCAAGTTCTCCCATTCAACCCACGCAAAATCCATGACAAGATTGAATTCAAAATATACCCATAAAGGACTCTCCCTTCCACTGCTCCACACGGAGTGAGACAGAGACAAGCAGCGGGATTTGACCCCTCTTCCCAATTCCCCGCTGCC